CCCCCCCCCCCCCCCCCCCCCCCCCCCCCCCCCCCCCCCCCCCCCCCCGCCCCCCCCCCCCCCCCCCGCACCCCCCCCCCCGCCGGCGCCCCCCCTCGCCCCCGAAGGGAGCGAGCGGGGGACCGGCGGGCGGAGGGGTACGGGCGGCGCGCTCGCAGCGAGCCTCTCCCCCCTCTTACCCGGCCCGCTCTCCGCTCCCCCGGTCCTCCGGTGGCGGATCCCCGGAGGGGACTACTTTTCTCTCTCGGCGGATGCGGCGCGGTGGGCGTGGCGGCGCCGCCCGCCGTCCCTCTCGGAAGCCGCGGCCATGATGGGAGCCCCGCGCCGGCGAGCGCTGCGGGCCGGGGGATGAGCGCGGCCGCGCCGTCCTGAGGGAGCCGCCGCCGCCGCCGCCGCTGCCGCCGCCGCCCGGGGGAGGGAAAAAAAAAAAAAAAAAGGCGCCGAAAGGAGCGACCGGCCGAGCCCCCGGGGCGCGGAGGGCGGGCGGGGGGGGGAGGGAAACGGGGAGCCGGCTCCGGTGGTGGGGAGTGGGGGGGGGGCGCGCCCCGCGCCCGCTGTCACCATTGCCGGGGCCCGGAGCGCCGCAGAGCTGCTCCCCCCGCCGCCGCCGCGCTCGCCCCAAACACGGCGGCGGCGGCGGCACCGCCCGCAGGGGCTCGGCGCGGCTCCCGACGCGCTCGGGGGAGGAGGAGGAGAAGGAGGAGGAGGAGGGAGCAGCGGCAACAGCGGCAGCGGCGGCAGCAGCGGCCGGTGCCGCCGCCGGCAGGAGCCGGGCCCGCCCGGGGCTGAGCCGGCGGAGCATCCGCGCCCGGGGCCGCCCGGTGGTGCCTCTCGGCCGCCGCCCGGGCCCTGCGCGCTGCCCCGGAGCGGCCCCCGGCTGCCAGACATGACCGCCATCATCAAAGAGATCGTCAGCAGGAACAAAAGGCGATACCAGGAGGATGGCTTCGACCTGGACCTGACCTGTATCCTGTTCCTCTCTTGTCTCTCCCCCCCCGCCTTGCTCCTTGCTCTTTTTTTCCCCCCGCACGTCCCCGGCGATTGCATCAGACCCCGGCGCGGCGTTACCTAACGCGCTGCCCCGCGGCCGCTCCGCCGGGGCTCGCCCGGGCCGCCGCGCCCTCCCCCGCCGCCGCCTCGGCCGCCTTTTGTCCGGGCCCGGCAGATTAACGGAGCTCCAGGATTAACGCCAGCGCTCCGAGCTGCCTGGGAGCCGTGCCCCTCCAGCCCCCACCCGGCCCCGCAGCCGCTTATCTCGGGCCGGGGTGGCTTTTTGGGCTCTGGGCGCAGCTAACGTGCCCGTCCCACCGTGACTCGGGTCCACAGCGCTTTTTTTTTTTTTTAATTTTTAATTTAGCAGCTCGGATTGCGAGTATAATCGTGGCAGGCCTGTGGCTTTCCTCGGGTTGCTTGCGTCGAAGGCTGTGTCCTCTGCCCTGATTTCCATCCCTTCGCTGAGGCAGAGCTGTTCCTTAGGATGCTGCGAGGCTCCCCACGGCAAGAGGTGGCAATCGCTGCTGCCAGATTAAAAAACCCACGGCTTATTTCCTGGTGGACCGCACGAGGATGTGTCAGAGACACGGTGCATCGGGTCTCGTCGAGGAGGATTGTATAGAATACTTACTCTGGAATAAGTAATTAGCGAGCAATTACGGCTAATGAGGCAAAACCCAGGGTGTAGTTTTGGTGGCCTTTGGAGCAGATGTGCTGGAGCGGCACAGGCAGATGTTTGGCTTGGAGTGCCTTGCAGGGTTAATGGTGTGGGGGGGGCTCTGCTGTGGCCATGGTCTTGCTCCTTGGAGAAAGATCAGTGCTGGGTGGGAGGGATTTTGGAGCAAGAACCTCGCTTAGAAGTTGGAAAAATGAATATTGACAGTAGTGTTCAGGGCCGGACTTAGCCCTGTAGAGAGATCTTTCTGTTCTGCAACAGGAGCAGGGGGAAACTTATTGGGTTTTGGAGTAATTACGCTCATGTCCGAGCAAGTTCTCCAAATAAATCCAGTTCTTGGGCAGGATCAAAGCTGATAACAGCTGGAACCAGCACAGAGCTCTTGCTGTTCCATTGAGCGTTGGCCTAAAATTTTAGTGGCTTTAAAACAGCCCGAAAGGTTCTGGACTTTAGCAAGTGGCTGCTGAGCTCTGGGTTAAAAAGCAGCAGCTCTGGTACATAATTCCTGCATTCTGTCTGCGATAAATATAATTTTAGGCCTGAAAGCGTTTTCACTTGGCCACTGGGGTTATGAAAAGAGTGAAGTGGTGGCAAAACCAAGAGCTTTTGGCTTCACAGTGCAAGAGTTTGGTATTTCAGGTATCTTTGCCCAGATATGCCAGTGGTAGGGAGAGATTTTCTTGGCCCGAGCTGATCTTTTTAACTGGTCGTATGGTCCCAGCAAGAAAACTGGTGAATGTAGAACCCTGATATTCCTGCTCAAGGCTGCTAATGATGTGTCAAATGGAACTTATTGCTTATTTTCTTACTTTTTTTTTTCTCCTTGTCTCATTAATTTTATTCTTAGAATTTTGTGTTATAAACAGGCCACTAGAGTGGGCTTAGGCTGGCTTTTCTAAAAGGAGCAGCTGGCTGCAGTTCTGCAATGAAAAGTGTAGAAAAGGTGGGGTTTTTTTCCAAAAATATTTTAGGAATAAGCTTATACTCAGTCCTTATTTTTATAGCTGCACATTTTGAGCAGATAATTAATGAATGAAGACTTCTGCCTTTACAGTGCCATGGCTTTGCTTGGAGGCTGGTATTGCTGCAAAAGTGGAAGTCGAATTTTTTGATGACTTTGTGCAGGGTGGGATTGTTTCTCACCATACCTGGCAGCTGGAAAATAACCTATTTGTTCTTTACACCTGTAGGCAGGGAGTTAAATCTCCAACCATGTGGTATTAGGGGAAGGAAGAGAAAACTTGAAGGCCAAGCGAGGTGTTCAGCAAGGCATGGCAGGAGGACCAGGTGGTGCAGCTCATGGTGAGTTCAGGGAGTGAAGAAGGGAAGGCTGACATGAATTGGAGAGCCCAGGGATTTTGGCATTTACCTGGGATATGGAAAGTGGAGGCCTGAATTCCTCCTGCAGTGAATATTTCTGTGTGAGGGGTTTAGTGGTGGTTGCTCCAAAATCCTCAGTAGCTGGTGATTGATTACCTGGGCTTTGGGAGGTGGAAATTAAAGGAATGATGGTGAATTCAGGTGAGGTGCCTGATCTCCAGCCTGTCTTCTGTGACCTGCCCTTTCCTTCCACCCGTCTTTGAGGGAGGGTCCGTGTCTTGGTGGCCCAGGTGGACAAAGATTTGTGGTCTTTGCGTTTTGGTCGTGACTGATTCTCCCAGGCCTTGGAGGAACACCTGAGTGCCAAAGCCTCAGGTGCTGGAGTGCCAGAATTCCCTCTGAGGACCGCTTTTCCTCGGTTGGGCTGTGTCAGATCCTTTTAAAACTGATGCTGGTGCAGGTACAGTACAGGACGTTGTGCTTGGGACTCTCAGTTCCTGAGGAGTTGGTTAAGAATTCCTCTTGTGTGGGTAATGTAGGATTTCAGCAAAGGGAAGTAGCACCTCCTCAGAATCAGTGCACAGTCTGAGAATAGTCCTGTGTGTCCTTAAAATCCACATTGACATTACTTTTCATCTAGTCAGATGTTCTCCGTGAACAGTCCTTTTTAATGACCTCTTGGAAAAAAAATACTTTGAATTTAGAAGAAGAAAGGTTTTGAAGGCGGAGACATTAAATAAACTTTTTAATACTTTATTTCAGCTGTTTATTCCGGGTTTGTTTGGGTTTGC